TTCAAAGTAAAAAATTCGTTTAAAAGAGAGAGAGAGAGAGAGAGAGAGAGAGAGAGAGAGAGAGAGAGAGAGAGATATTGCTTTCTTTTAAAGATAGACGAGATGGATTGAGATAGAAGGTTCAAGGTTGGCCATGTATGGTAGTGATGATTATAGAATTAAAGTAAGGTGTACATATATTAATCCAATATGAGGATAGCTTTTGCTTTTGCAGACCAAGACATTATGAATTCAACTCCCTCACTACCATCATCATCATCATTTGCTCACAAACCAGATCTCACATATATACAAATATAATTACAACCTCATCCATCGTACGCATTATAAACAATAAAGATGAAAAGCTTTTACATCGATCATCCATGAAATGCAGGTAATACATGGCTTAATTTGTTAGCGCTAGCCCAAGTTAGAATGGGGCGAGCAGAGATAGCTGACTGTGGAATTAGATTTGACTCTTTCAATCCATCTGTTGCTATGCTAGCTTGCCGATTGGATAAGACGGAAAAAAAAATAGTGAGCAACGGATCACAGTTATCTTTTAAGGGGAAAAAATGGTAAATATATAGTGAAAAATAGTAGTAGGTTGTTTGGTAAACAAACTAGCTTCAATGTGAAATAATTCAAAACATATATAAGCGGCCGAAGAGCGTTTGCATCATCGGAGGATGAAGAGATTTATTGAACAATTGGGGTGGTGAGGATCTTAATTGTAACACCCGAGCCATGAAGAGCCATGGTTTCTGCCATATATATGCAATTCTATGATCTCTGTCTTGCCTTTCGTTTGCACTAAAATTCAAAGTTTTTAGGGTTTTACCTTGTCTAGCATAGCATCCACTCGAAATCAATTGATAATGGGTAGAGAGACCTAAGATCATTTACATTACTAAGTCAAGGTTTTTATTTCTGATATAGGATAATATTCTTAACACGTTTGGTATCCTTGTTATTATTTTCGCATACAAACCATGTTTTCCTTAGAGTGCTGTTGAACCCTAAAATTAGTTGAGTACACCCTAATATTTAAATGAAAACGTAAAATTAACTAAGTACACCCTATTTAACTACCAAAAATACCCCTGGTACACCGTAATACACTATCACACAACACCCTAATACCAATCTTAAACCAAGTTTATCTTTTTTACATGAATTCGTGCCCTCTTTTCATATTTTGGGTTTGTATCAAAATCTTTAATTTCATAAACTGTTGTGGGAGTAGATTTGCTAGCTCCTTCAATTCAAAGCTTGATTCTTATAAATCCTTATGATTTTCTTTATTTATTTCTTATTTTCGGATTGAACTTGTTGCCCTCCAAATATGTTCTATTATCTTATGAAAGTTTTATGGGTTATTTTTCTTTCTTTTTTGGGGTAAAATTAATTCAAAGACAGACTCTGAATAGATGTATTTCACCAAATAATTCAACAACACAATGTATCGTTGAACACTTTGAAAAGTGAAATTCATCAAATTTGCAAAACGCAGCTATAAGAGCATCCACAGTTGGGGGGTGGGGGGGGGTGTAAATACTCTTTTTGATTCAATGGGAAACTATGTAAATCTAAATATGTATAATTGATTTGTTTGTCTTAATTCGTTTTTGTGTTAAAATTTTATTTTGTGTTAACTTTATAAAATTAATTTTTTTTTGTATTAAGTTAATTTTATTTTTTAAAATAAATAGATCTAAAAATATTTAAATTCGGAGAAGATATGATTTCATCCAAAAAGAACAGTTGGATTGTAAAATTAAAGCTGCTGCCTAATTCAAGCTGTTTGTTGTTGGCATGTTTTTCAAAAATTAAAGCTGCTGGACTTGATTTAAATGTTGGCTATTGCAATCTAGCCGTTTGGGGGGAAGATGACAACCAAAAAATTGCGTAGCATATGAATTTTTGTCCAACAGTACTGTAGCCGTGGGTCCTACCTTTTTATGCTGACTTTTCTCTCTTTTTCCCCTCTTTTTCTCAGCTGGGTCCCACTCGAAGGAGATGTAAAAAAAGATATACAATTGCATTTAAATTTACATCTCATGGTGGTGATGTAATTATACATTCATTTACACCCCCCATTGTGGGTGATTCCGATCACAACGAGTGTATATTTAACATACACCCCGTTATACACCTCCCCACTGTGGATGCTCTAAGTGTTAATATTTACCACACACTACAGTCTACTTCGAAATGTGGGGCACAATAACAGTAAGAATGATGATGTTCACACAACTCAGAGATGAATAATACCCACACACACAAAAACAAAAAACAAAAGTAACATGGACGAGAAGAGAAAATATTAAGTAACATAAAGCATTTAAAATGAAAATGAAAGCCGTCTATTCTAGTTATGAAAAAACGAAGAACCAAAGCTATTCACAGTAAGAAATTCAAAAACCAAAATACACCCTTTCCGCAAGCACATAATCCACTAGGAAGTTCATCTGAGCTGACATCAAATCGTTGTGAAATCCGCTCGGCGTTTATTTTGCTCGTTGCGTTGTTCGCTGTGGGCACAAAGTAATGCCAAAACTTCTCTACATTTGATTAGGGTTGAATATGGAGAGTAGGTGTACTTATTAAAACTATATTTGTTTCACAATTCAATGTATCCTTTTTTGTCATTGTATATTAGGGTAAATTAGTAATTCAATAATTAGTTTGGTAGTAAGGTGTACTCAGTTAATTTTAAGATTCGTTTAGCAACACTCTTGAACATTATGAATTTTTTTTTTTTTTTTAAGGGTTATGAACATCAAATTATTGGTTATATTTATCATTCGTGGGAAACTTGGAAGCACAGTTGGTGGGCTTGAGTCTCATGAATCAGCCGACAAGTTAAACACCTCATGGGCTTGAACTTAAGGTCTAGCATACAATTTCTTTACGGCCGGTTTCCTTATTGGGCTTGTTTTCCAATAATAAGCAATATCAGTGTTAAAGTAGCACTGGAAGATATGCATGCTAGGAACAGCTTCTATAGAAAATGTTTCTGCTCAAAGCGCTTCGGGGTACTCTATCTGTGGTAAGGTTCTTGCTTGAACTTAAGGTCTAGCATACAATTTCTTTATGGCCGGTTTCCTTATTGGGCTTGTTTTCCAATAACAAGCAATATCTATCAGTGTTAAAGTAGCAATGGAAGATATGGATGTTAGGAACAGCTTCTATAGAAAATATTTCTGCCCAAAGCGCTTTGTTGGGGTACTCTATCTATGGTAAGGTTCTTGACCCTGCTTTTGCTGTTGAGCGGGTAAGGCTATTCAGTTAGTCTGACGACGGGCTCGTATGTATAGAGAAACTCGCCTAATCTCCAACGACATAGCCTAATTTTTTTGGTACTTGTTACCTATTCCTTTCATCAATAATACTACCGCTCTTTTCTCAAAAAAGAAGAAAGAAAAAAGAAGGTAGCATTGGAAGATATGCAAATTAGGAATAGCCTGGTCAAAACGCTTTTATTAAAAGTGCTTTTGATAGAAGCAAGTTGAATTTTTTGTTAAAAATCCAAGTACTTCCTGAATACTTCTCCAAAAAGCAATTAGGGCTTTGCAGAGGAATTAGGTCTCTCTACTGGGAGGAGGAAGGCATTTCAATTTTAGGGTTTCTATGAAGAACTACTTGCACTTGGTGAAAGGGAATCAAGAAAAGGGAATGGAGAATGAATAGGGAGTTTTATTGTTCTTGAATTAAAAACGGCATCGATTTAGTCTAGAGCAATGCTGCCATTTGCTCAATTTTTTTTTTTTCTGGAATTGTTCCAAATGATTTTTTTTTTACAAAGAAAAATTATCAATTAGTTTAAATTGGGGGGGTGGTTTCGAATTTATTTTATCTTGTTGATCATTGTCACAGGTTTAAATAATTGGTATGCATAGTAATAAAGAACAAGTGCTGATAACTAACAAGTAGTCGCTTTGGCCGAGTGGTTAAGGCGTGTGCCTGCTAAGTACATGGGGTTTCCCCGCGAGAGTTCGAATCTCTCAGGCGACGTTCTCACCTTTTTATGTTTTGGTTTTTTTACTCTTTGCTGGAAAACTTGACATTTATTTTCATTTAAATGATGTGACGTGACAGCCAAATATTGAGACTGACTCTCCACCTATTTTTATTGCCTTCACTACTTCGACTCTTCTCTGAGTCTATGACGAATTGGGTAACAGAGTGTTTCATTTGTAAGGTTGGGTTTGAAACCACCCCCAAAGATATATATATATATATATATATATAGAGTTTCAGTTGATGGATTCTTCAAATAAACTTATTTAATGGACATCCTTATAGGCCTCACTACGCATTATATTACAATAATCTGAACCGTCTAATTTTTAAATATTGACTCAAATATCATATCTACAAAAAAATCACTTAAATATGAAACCATTTAATCACTCAATTAGATGTTGTTATTATAGTCTTTACTTGAAGCACCGTATTCGTTTATTTTGTTGGTCCCGATTAGATGCCTTAATGATTTTCAATTTGCCTGATTTTTTTTGTAAGGATGATCTATGAAGATTTGAAAAATGGCAATTTGGATCGTTGAAAAAAAACAATCGTACCCTAAAAGGTGTCCCTCAAATAAAAAAATTTGAGAGATCCATCAATGGAAAGGGACTATATATTTACATATCAATAATCTGAACCATCTATTTTTTAGGTATTCATTCAAACAATATTGCTCTCTTGAGGACAATATTTTGAGGACTAGTAAGGTCCAAACTTGTTACATCCGTCGGATTTAATCTAACGGCTGGTGGTGCTAGCCTCTTTAAAATACCCATTTCCTCCATCCAAATGGAAGGTAAGTGTGAACTTATATGAAATAAATATGCATGAGAGAGATATCATCAAAAGAAAAATATGAGAGAGAGAGAGAGAGAGAGAGAGAGAGAGAGAGAGAGAGAACATTGAATATATTGAATCTATTTTGCTCCTTATTAACGTCTGATTACATCTTCACATATTCCACCACATTTTTATTCTTTTGTGTACAAAACAATTAACAAATTACAAATATTCCTCATGTCTTATTCTATTTTCTACATCACTATTGACACTTCTGATCTCTAAACGAACGATGAGATATATTATTGCATGCATGTACCAAAAAGAGGGTTGTTTGAATTTGGTAAAGAAGGAAATGATGTATGCCAAAATTTGCTTTGCAAAATGGCTTGGACTAAGAGAGAAAGGAGGATATATCTTGCATGAAACCCTCAAAATCCCATTCTCCCATTCTCAAGTTTTCTCCCTGCCCATTATTTCCAAACCCAAGCATGTCCTCATCTACTTTAAACCCGATCATTTCCGTCGTGCTGTTGAAGCAATTATTATGGAAGTGGTTGTTAATAATAGTCTTGCTTACATTCTCAGCTACTTGACCATTAATATTACTCTCGACGCTTCTACTCTCAAGTGCAGGAACACAAAGGTCACCTTCTAACCCCATTTTATGGCCAGCCCCTAAGTTTCCATAATCCCCACAATACCCCTGGTCTCCAATATTTGGTAAGTTTGCTAAGCATGTGGGATTAACGTTCAGTGTAGCATCTGCATGGGCCATGTCATAGCGATGGTCAAGCATGGAGAGGGGATCGAATAATGTGTTGCTGTTGACGAACATGGCTTGCATGGATGCAGATGATGAGGAAGATGAATCTATGTTGTACATGGTCATGGTCATCATGTCAGGGTCATGCATGGGCATAAACGTTCCTCCAGTAATGTTGACATCTCTAGGTTCTGATGAATCACTATCGTTTGGTGATGATAAGGACGTGGAAATATTGTTCTTTTTCAACCTTTTCTTTAATGCAGAATTCCAAAAGTTTTTTATTTCATTGTCCGTTCGTCCTGGAAGACGTGCAGCAATCTGTGACCACCTAAATTGATAATGGGAAAAAACGTTAAGACATATAAAAAGAGTATATACTCTTCATTAGCTTTTCTACGGCCAAAACAAATGCATGGCAATGTTTAATTAGTTGCTTAAATTATACTAGTGCGTAAATGTCAATTGAGCTCTGAAACAAGCTACAAACTAAAGACACTAATTCAAGTTTGATGTCAAGCTTTCAACATGCATTAATTTAAGATTGAGAGATTTTTTGATATTATATTAGAATGCGACTGAAAATCAATTGACAATGGGTGAAGAGGCCCAAGATCTTGTAAACTCTTACGCTAGACTTTCATTCTTAGATGTGATATACCATCAACACTTATGCTAGACTTCCTTAAATTTAGGTCTGCATAGTGCGAACCCGAAAAAAAAGAAGCATTTTGAGGATTCAAACACTCAAGCCCAGGTGTTTGAACCCCCATTTCAGTTTTTGTTTTTCAGTTTGCACTTCAGGCTTCAACTGTTTTATAATAAACAGAGGGGGAAATATGTAGATGTTAATTAGGATGTATATGTGTATGTCAGTAACAAGTATATGTTACAACGTCATATAAGTTAATTTATATCCAATATAAAGTGGATATAATGGGGTAATGTTAATTTCATCATCAACTTTGTTGAACTTCATTTCCCACATCAAATGAGGCATGCATGTGGAAAAGCTTGCTGACAAACAACCTATCTGTATATATGGGGATCATATATTGCATATAATAATTTTAGATTTGAAATGTATTTATGTATATGGGGAATTGTTTAATCTCACCCAAAAAAAATTACATAAATATATATGTTGGGAAAAGCTTGCCAAACTGTAAACCTACCGTTGGTTAAGTTGATTTTTTCAAGTAGTTCATAATGACTAGGCTGATAATGAATAGAAAAGAAAATAGTACTAAGGGGAAGAAAAGCAACAGGACTCAATAATATTCTAGGGTGAAGCATTTCGAAATGGTGCTATATATGTTTATGCGTTAAAGCATTATAATAGAGAGAGAGAGAGAGAGAGAGAGAGAGAGAGAGAGAGAGAGAGAGAGAGAGAGAGAGAGAGAGAGAGAGAGAGAGAGAGAGAGAGAGAGAGAGAGAGAGAGAGAGAGAGAGAGAGAGGGTACCTGTTGCCAAGAATTGAATGGAAATGGACGATAAGTTCTTCCTCTTGGGGTGAAAATGCACCACGCTTGAGGTCAGGCCTCAAGTAGTTAATCCATCGAAGACGGCAACTCTTTCCACACCTTTGGAGACCAGCATTTCTAGCAATGTCACTCCAACATCCTTGTCCATTCGTCAACATGTACCTCATCAGCTTCTCATCTTCCTCAGGCGACCACAACCCCTTCCTAAGCTTGCTCATTATGATCTTCTTCTTCTTGTTAATATTGTTTGCTCCCTCCTCTTTTCCCATAGACTCTGGCTTTCGCATTATAATTGCTAGACCAGTTTCTGAGGGGTTTCTGATTTAAGTGGTTAGTTGGAAGGATGGAGATCTAAAAGAAAGCTATATAAGATGATGAGAAGGCTTCATGGGGTGGTAATGGTGATGATGATGGTGATGGTTGTGGGGTTTGCTTAAAATATGAATGAATAAAAAAGTTTGAGAGAGAGAGAGATTGTGTTTGTTGGTCGATGGGTGGAGTGGGAAACGGATTGGAGGGGGACCTCCATGGCTCCATTAATTCCCATATGAGAGAGAGAGAGAGAGAGAGAGAGAGAGAGAGAGATGATTATGTGAAGTGGAAGCAAAAATGTAGCTGTCTCATATACAAAAGATGATATATAATTACCTTGTGAGTGAAGAAAAATGCATCGAAAAAGACAAGAAAGAGTCAAAGACAAGAAGACCAAACCCTCCCCCCTATCAACATACACGTGAATTTGAAGTATATGGAGAGAGAGAGAGAGAGAGAGAGAGAGAGAGAGAGAGAGTACAAGAGTACTCTTTGTACACTCTCGGCAAAGTGTGGCATGCACTTTTGCCACATGTTTGTACTTAATTAGTTTGTTTTGTGTGTTGTGGATTGTTTAAGTGGTTGCATGAAACTTATTGGGGATAACTCAATTATGAAAAGCATGCTTCTCAAGCAAACTCTCTCACTTTGGGATCAATTACAGTTGTTCTCTTTGGTCAAAATTGCATTCTCAATCTCATATTAGAAGTTAAGATTGCGCAGCTAGCAATATTCCTTAAACAAATATCCTCCCAGTCCCCACTACTACTGGCATGGGCATGGCATGCAATAAAATAATTGCTTTAGTCGTTGCCATGGCCCGGCTCAAAGTAAATGAGAATTAATAGTTTCTTACCTGCACACAACCCTGTCCCGAGCTTAAAATCCAATCACAAGAAATCATCAGATCAAATCAACTCAAACGAACCCAAAATAAAATACAAATAAAAATACAAATAAAGATTGCTTTTGCAACACTTGTTCATTTGTTAACTAAAAGAAGAAACAACCAATTATAGGCATCATGATATATAGACTAGATATAGTTTCACCAGATATATATATAACTGCTCTTCCTTTATTTCAAGTTTCATCATTGTTAAGAATTTCGACTGAACATCCCATCAGTGTTGTTAATTGATTGCTTCAAGTCTTTTCTATTATTATAAGGGAAGAAGATCAAAGGGTAAAAAGAATAACCAGAAACAAAATAAAAGAAAGGCACCTTATAATTTCATTCCAGAAACTGTGCAACATTATTTGCGCAGCCTTTGCTTATAACTTGGCATATTGTTCACTAATTGGAAAGAAATTTATCCCAGTAATTATATCGCTAGCATTTTCTTTTATTTACATGCTCGCTTGTCAAGCAGTTCTAGCAAGTATATCTTATGTTGCTTGAGAACATTTCATAATTGAGTTATCCCCAATTTTATGTTTAATTAGATTCACAATCTAGCAACTTAAGTTTGGGAAGAGAATATTTCCCGTGCATAAAGTATATGTTCTCTTACCATACTGTCTCGATATAATCAGTGTTTCCCCATTACTAATTTAAACTATCTATCAAGACGACTCTTTGTATGATTGTGTAGTCTAAATTTACCCAAACTTAAGATTTCTCATAATCATATATAAAATGGCTTCCACTAATCCATCGTTATACATTAATCATAAAAAAAAGAAAAGAAAAATTGCTATTTCTTTTTAACTTGGAGTATGCATGCGTTTAGATAAACCCGAAATTTCGCTGTCCTGTATGTTGTGTCACCTAATTTTCCTGTCCCTGCATGCTAAGAGCTGTGACTTCCCAGTCATTTTCAAAGCCAAATGGCAAATCAGGTTTACAAGGGAGTCATATTCAATTCTTCCAGATAATTCCAATGAAATATTCAGTTACTTATGTTTGTTAACCAAAAACGACACTGTCACATTTTTTTCTGGGGGAAAAGTGAGTGCAAAACTCTCAAGCTACTCAAGTGTTTGTAAAAAGCCCTGTGTCCTTCTACAGCTGTCCCAGGATAGAATCTATATAATCTCATGCTTTTGAGGATGTCCGAAGCAACATGCCTGCTTGGTTACAAAGACAAGAAACACCAACTCATGACCTGAATTCATTCAATCTCACACCTTGTACTACAAACCTTACAAAAGTGAATGTACCATTAAAAGAATCTGTATCTTAAAATCTGGCTAGGTGCAGAAAAATACCAAATTTCCGCACACTGCCTCAACAAACCATGGGGTGAAAAAGCAATGCTCAGAAAACTCATGACCAAAGAAAAAGGTGGAGAGATTGATCTGGTTTGACCGTTTATACCTCTGTTTGCACATAGATTGTGGAGTTTCTATCATTATACTTTTTTTATGGGGGAAAAGTGGAGGGAGGCATGAGCACAAAAAACAAATGAGACAAAAAGTTCATCCAAATTCTAGTAGAGAAGGAAAAGGCACATCACATGTTAGAATTGCAACTTTTTTATTTTTTGGACTATGAATCATAAAGCTATTTACACAAGAAAATACTGGATTACACTCTGGAAAAGAAAAAGCATCTAATTAGTCATTGACTAATTACATAATTTACTCAAATTCCATAATCGAAACTTAATTATATATTTATAATTACGTAATTGACGGCAAATTTAGTTAAATTAAAACTCTTGCTTGACACTCTCTTTGTCAAACGAAGTACATTGGCTCATATCAATGAAATGTCTGTCCACTTCAATATGTTTTGTTTCGTGCAAATCATGTCTGAACCTTGGTTGTGAGTAAATGTTGATGGCAACTCTGTTATCTAAGTAAAGCGTTACGTTCATCGGATCCCAATTCTTTGAACAAAACCTCGAGAAATAATGTCTCGCACATACCATGACGCATGGCTTCAAATTCTGTATATGCACTTGATTTAGCCATATTGAAGTGAATAGACATTTCATCAATCCAATCTTCCGGCCAAAAGCCCCCATGAAAATTTTAAGGCAAAAAGAAGGCTGAAGCTCTGCCACAGTTGGAGGATCAGTTCACATTGTCGAAGGGGATTCTGAAATGATTGTGACAGGTTAAGATGTGGGGTTTTTAGTTAGCAATTAGACAAATTAACCCATACTTAATTCATACCAATCTTAGTTTTGGACTACTCATACTTCAATAATCCTCGATTGAAATGAGTGTGATGACACCAATCACCACATTACTAATTAGGGAACGTTTGTAAAACACAGCCAATGAACAGCTCTCTATATAAATATTTGTGCAGCAATATAACTGAACTTAACAAGCTTTGACTTCAAAGGCGAAAACGCGACAAAACAGGAAGATAAAGAACATGAAACTAGCGAGTCTCTTGCCCAGAACAATGCGGAAAACAAGCTTTTATTTGCAAATGGATGGCATCCAGATCAAGTTGCTTTCCATCTTTTTAGAAAGGGTTCAAGCACCAAAATTAAACATTTTTTTTTCCTTCTTAGAACTTTGACAATAACAGATACATGAAAAATGGGGGAGACCGCAGTATCAGTCCGTGAACACCTTTTAGAGGCTGTCAAGGTTTGCGGGTTCCCGCAAATACCTCTCCATCTGGCGTGCCCTGGTCTTAATGGACATGTCAAACACCTTCTTATCAAACTCTACCACAAGCCCACCCAGAATACTAGGATCAATCTGGCATGTAAAACAGAATCAAATTTCCATCCATTATAAAACAATTGGTGCATTGAAGAGCAGATGAAAAGACCACTACATACCTTCTGCTCAAGTATGACCTTCTTTCCCTGTCCAATTAATTCCTGCAGTGTCTCCTTCAATTCTTTCTCCTCCACAGCAGGAAGGGGCTGGTCATAGAATAAAAATTAGACAGAATATGGCATAAAATATATACAATGCATAGTTTGGTACTTGTTAGTCAACTCAATTTCCTTTCCATGAAAATTCTACCATCTTGTATCAAGTTATCTTTCCAACTGAATTGTAGCAGGGCATAATCAATGTCATCACAAATGATACTTCAAAACGCAGTACAAAAACAGAACACAAATCAAACCCATACAACATCTCATGATACCCCAGCAATAAGACAGCATTAGATACAACACCAATTCCTCGGATACTTCAAAACACAGTAAAAAAAAAAACAGAACACAAATCAAACTCAAACGTCTCATAACAACACCCCAATAATAAGAAGTCTAATTAATGACAAAGTAAGTTTTTCCATGAGATTTACGACTATTTGTTTCCCAAACAAGCACAAAATCAGCACAAAAGTAATTCAAGCAAAAACAGCATAAGTTTCTGAAATGGAACCTCCAAGGAACAAGGAAATTTTTTTATATGAAAAAAGGAGACGCCTAGCCCGGGAGGGAACATAAACCTAACCCCTCAAAGTCAAAGAAAAGCTAAACCAAACAAAAACAAAAGAGAGTCAAGTAAACCTGTAACTATGGAGCCCCAAAAGGTCCAAGGAACAAGCCAGCATAAAGGTGAGCTGAGCACCCTATTTAGCTAACTGGTTATTAATCATTTTGTTTAAACATATCGCTTCAAAGCAGGCAGCCCACATTATACTTGAAAAAACTAGAACAAAATAACCATGGACTAGAGCCCAAAGTCATTAGGGACACCAATGACCATGCTAATTTCGTTTAAGTGTTTCATACCAAATTCTGATACACATTTCAACAATCAAAAATCATTTCAAAGAAAACACAATAAAGTATTGTGTAATAAGAGAACAACTTAAAAGTACTAAAAAGACTAATGTCAGTTATGTCCTTTGGAATAAAACTCAGAAACAATTTCCGTTTCTGTAGAGAAAAGCATAGCGAATCATAATACCATCACGACAAGTTTATGTAAAACAGATACTATGAAGTATAAGTACTTCTTGCATTGCAAACCACTATGCCAAGTCCAACATTTCAAATACAAAAAACCAGCATAGTTGTAAGCAATCTTTTTATTTTCGTGAGTACAAAACTTCTACATACATTGTACTTTTACCCAAAAAAGTTGCAACAAATCAAAACTATTCCAGTGATACTTTCTTCTTTTAAATATCAAACTAAATGGCAGTATATAATATAGATCTTGATCATTTACAACCAATATTAAAATTAATGACCATTGACCAGTCACATTAGAAATGACAGACCAACTCGAGCAATATAACTTGTTACGAAAAATAAATTTACCATCAAAGCACTACAACTTACAATGACAGATGTAACAATAGCTTTCACTTCTCCCTTATGTGCCATGGTCAACTCCACAAATCTCTTTGCTATGGTTTCAAGGTTCTTTAGCCTACCATTCTGAGACAAGATAACTACAAAAAAAAAATGTATATGGGTTAGTATGTGTGTATGTACACATATAACATATACATATACATGTATAGAGAGAGAGAGAGAGAGAGAGAGAGAGAGAGAGTTTTAATTAAGCAACCATGAGAACAATTAGAATTAAAAGCAAGATCAAAGTTGAGTGAAAGATCAATAAGGAAAAGAAAACCTAATTTAATGAACATACTTGCAAACATTATAAAACACCTCGGCGAAGACAGTTATTAAAGCCATTATGTTAACAGCGCATAGCCAGGTCAAAATCTTAATAATAGCTCTCAAATTAGTGTTCATATATAACGCAGACAAAAAGGCTTGGTGTGAACAGTACATTGCACATACCAGGACACAATTTTGCTAAAATAGCTGTCAAATTTACAGGGCACATATAATACAGAAGATTATATTTACCCAAGTTCAATTACATACAAACATGTTAAATACGTAACTACTTTTATAACAATAACAAAACAAATAATAATGAATGTTTCAAAGATGAAGGTGTAACACAAGAGGTTTTAATCCCCGCAAGGTGAGGCATAAGCCCTTTAGGACCCAATTAGGTCGGTTTATACTTAGAAATACCCACTGCATTGTTACTGAAATTTTTCAGATAGGAAAAAAATTGCAGACAAATGAACAAAGAAAGTAAAATGCTTAGCGATTAGAGTTTTTGAGGCTTAGAGCTGACAAGGATTTGGGTTTGGAGCTGCCAAAGACGAAATTAATTTGGGATTATGATTTTTTTGGTTTAACTTTCTATTGGGAGGGAGCACATCTGACTTTCCTTTGCTTGATTCGATGCTCTTAAGTCTTGAAAGTACAAAGAAATACAGGAAAAAAAAACATGAAAAAAACCAAAGAATAAATCTAAAACAAGAAAGAGTCACTAATCATACCCAAAAAGTTCTTTGTAACATCTGAAAATTTAGCTTGAGTAGAAATGTCACTGATTGCCTTCACTCTAGTATCTGCTGGCACTGACAAATCCTTTGTGAACTGAGAAAACGTAGGACTTCTCTTCGTAGACTCAACAATGTCAAGAATCTCAGACTCAACCTTCTCCAAGGCATTAGCTTTTACTGCAGCAATGTACAAAGCAGAGGCATAGTTCCCAGAACCCCCAAACAACACCAGAGGCACCTGGCATTCATGGCAGAACAAATCAATATAATATAAATAATATGATTGAATTCTGACACAGTAAGCACATACATCAGTTGTTTTATATTACTAACACTTCACAAAATCTAATTATAAGTCTATTGAATCTCACTGTACCTCGAAACATAAATTTAGATATTTGTTTTCCTTTTTCCAAACACCATTAAAACCGAACAAATGACACACTAATTCGTATTAAAAAGTATACATAACAAAAGATATAACATCCAAGAAATGTATAACATCTTCGAGCCCTGCTCAATAATAAACATCACTCCTGCACTTGATAAGGATTTAATTTTCTTTCAAAATGAAAATTGTAAGGCATAAAATCCCAGAAAATGTTAAGCCAAAGAATTCCATTACCTTAACCTTCACTTCCTTCTTCCCAGGTGCGGTAGAAAAATTCTTTGACAACTGCAAGTACCAAATGTGAAACAATGAAAATTCAACTGTAGTTGACATAAAGACCTCCTAAATTTTATTTTTAAAACTTATATTAAAACACACAAAGAGAGACGCTGAGGAATAAAGAAAGCAAATTCATATAATGTGAATCATAAATCTTCTTCCTTTCAAATTTCCACCGATTCTAATCTATCGGTTTGGCTCAGTTAACGCACATTTTTCGCCATCTAGAAACAAAAACAGAAATGAGTTTTTTTTTTAATTATTAAAATTTCTAATGAAGAAAGTAAGCAAACTAGATCAGACATGTAAAAATCTGTTCTTTGCATTTCTGTGATTTGAGAATCTCTGTACCTCAGAATTGGTGAAAGTAGGGCAAAGTACAGACCGCTGGGCACTGGACCCGTGGGCGGCGGAGAGCGAATCCGATTTGAGAATCTTGGTTACGAGAGGAAGGCTCGATCGGATTCGATTAGCAAAAGCCATTGTCAAGAAACCCTAATTTTCTGTCTGTTTCTCTCTCGCACAGTCCTGCACTTTCTGCGTAGCCAAACAGAGCTTCGAAAATGAAAACTAAAATAGAGGCTGGGACAAGTAGCGAATAGTAATTAGTCATCCAGGCGAGAATATTACCAAGTGGTACTGACTTTGTATGCTACTAGTACGGGAGCCCAACACGTGTCTGCTAAGGTGAAACAATAGCGTACTCACCTTTGGAATAAGGTTCACAAACACTGGTTATATTTTTTTCGTAAGATTAAAACTGTAACTGTTTCGTTTGGTATTAATGGAATTCCATCTTTCCCTATAATTTAAAAAAAAAACCTTTTATTGATAAAAATTATCTAAACTTTTTTTAACAAAAAAATAATTACAGAATACTCTTACAACGGGTCAAAATACCCAAGCAAAGCTACACCACTACAATGATCTAACAACTATTGACGGACCTATTAAGGCGCAAGGAGCTACATCTTCTCTCACCAGAAAAGTCATTGTAAGTGCTAAGACGCACTCTAGGTGTTCGATGAAAAGCTTAAACAAAGTCTGTGCACATATATATTTTTTTTTTATCCTGGGCAAAACGATGCTGTTTTGGGCCAAGATTTTTTATTTTTTATTTTTTAAAAAAGAAACTTGGGCTGCCATTGCTTGGGCTTTAACCTATTTCTATCTAGGGCCTGCATAAAAAAGGACAAAAGGCTTTAAACTTTAGGGCTTTTAACAACAATACTTCCTTTTTCTTCTACAACAATTGGTTATTTGTAATGCTATTTTTTTTTATGACTTATGAATGACATTGGTATTGTTTAAATTATAAGGATATTTTATTGTAAATTTTTTTATATAAATCTTTTTTAGCCTTTCAAATTGCACCTCCGCTAAAATGTTTCTAGATCCGCCAGTGTTAATAACAACTAGGTATCAAATTCATCACAAAAATATATAATTTTAGTCATTCACGTGAACGAACCTGCGACTTCTTCCAACAAAATAAAGACAAATACTACTACCATACCAAAGCCTAATTGATTTCTTTCTTTCTTTCTTTGATCGAAAGAGTAGCAATTTGTATGAGACCTCATGTGATTTTCTTTCTTTTTCAGTTGGATATATATATATATATATATATATATATATATATATATAAAGTATGATAGTCGAACTTTTGCTGCTTGTGCAAGAGTTCAATGGTAGGGTGAAGTTATAAGTTTATAACTAGGGTGTACTTTAGTTCGAAATCGATATAATTTTACCAATTCACATCCGATCCAATATATATTGGATTATGATTTTTTCAATCCAATCAAATCATATTAGAGATTTAAATCCAATCTGATCCCATCCAATTGATATTGAATTGGATGATCGGTTTTCATAATGGAAAAATATAATAATGAAATATGAAACATTTATCGTCAAGTTTAATATAATCAAATATTTTAAAACATAAAATATAAATGAAATGCTAGAGAAAATTATTTTAATTTTATAATATATCAAACATAATTCCATAAAATTACTTAAAATGTGTATAACCTTCCTAATGAAAATTACTTAATGAGCAAAATAAGCATGAAACTAACTAGATTGGATTGGATTTGATGGGATCCTCACAAGCAAATCCGTCATCCGATCAAATCATATCGGTTTTGGAGATTAGGGATCCAATCCAATCCACCAAATCATCAAAACCGATTAAAGTTGAATTGGATTGGATTGGATTGGATTGAATTAGATTGGTCGATTTGGACGGATTGGATTGGATCTTGCACACCCTTAGTTATAACTTTGAATTACTTTACTATCACTTCATCCACACCCATGTCACTTGAGTGAAGGTCGATAAACAATTACCATCTATCTATTGCATCCCATCCATCTTGTGTAATTTAGATTGCTTTTTTCTTTGTTTGATGATCCATGTTAGATTCCAGACAAATGGAGTAGTGGTTCACTACTACTAACACCGATATTGTGTCCAACTTAATCATCACTTGCATAGTCCACTATATGTGGGATTTTACACAAAAGACTTCGGTGTTATTAATAATGGAACCACTCATTATATATTGGATTTATTTTGTCAAATTCTGATATATGATGATTTTTTTTTTTGTCAAAACCGATATGTGAGATTTCATGGCCCCTCACATAAGACCGCCATATAGTGGACTGTGCGTACAGCCAATGTCACATCGGTTGTTATTGGTGCTCTATATGAGGGTCCAGTTAATCAGTCAAGCCCACACTCAAAAACCACATATTGAGTAAAATGTAAGAGTAAATGCACAATGATTTAGGCCCAGTACGTGGTTTAGCTCCGTTTGCTTGGTATACAAATCGGACAAGCTGAAGCTGAAGCTGAAATTGTTTACAATTGAGGTACGTGCTGTTCCACATGCAAAACAAAACACAAGAATTTGGACAATCTTCGTACTGCACAAAAGTCTTTCCCAAATGCTCGCTTTAGTAGGGAAAATAATAGCATAGAAAAGATGATAAAAAAACATAAACGACTTGGCAAATCGACATTTGAAAGCTGAATTTGCAAATTCACTAAACCTAACTATACCACATTGCCGAATGTGAATTGTACCACATTGGTGACCACATCCTCCCATCATATGTGAGAGACACACAACTCTGACCCCTGTAAGAATTGAATGTGGTCATGTAGCATCGGTCTTGTAGAGTTCATCGTCAGATACATCGTGCTTTCTCCACTTTCACGGCCTCTTTGTTCAAGCAACACTACACTGTAATCGAAATCGGGAGATAGAGAAGAAAGAAAGGAAAATTTACAATTGAGAAGAAGGTGTACAAAATGAAAGCTGCACTTTAAATGTTTAAAGCTAAGCAAGATTGAAGAGTTAAGGAAAAAATTAAACCTCACATTAAAAAATAACAGAAATCTTGTTAATAGAATTAAAGAAAAGACAAACCCCAGTTTAGTTTGTAAAACAAGACATAGAATGTATGTAAATCACTTTAACAAATTTTACCTGCATAGGTGACTAGCATGATTATGCTAACTATACATAGCAGTTGTAGAGGATCTATAGAATGTTTGAATCCAATAAGCATTTGAACTTTGACAAAAAGAAAAGAAAAGAAAAAGAAAAAGAATGGTATGACATAGCATTACAGAATAATATATGTATATTTTGTATCTACCAAAATAATTCATAATAGTATAGTTTTAATACCAGAGACAACTTGTAGAGGATATAACAACCACTAGCAATATTAGTCTACACCCAATAGCATTTTAAAAAACTACAAGAGTGATCGAACGAAATTAGGATGGTTTACTCATGCAATATGTACATACCTCTAAGAATCTTCTAATACTTGATCTTCCACATTAGAGAGGAATGTGATCTATCAACAGCATAACTTAGTTGAGAAGACACAGACCCCGTTATTTTATGACTCAACAACTTAGACGTCAATAAGGAGAGCAACTCCTTATGCCGTGATTGCTTTCTCTTCAGTACTTGGATATAAGCAAATAAACCAAGCCACTCAACTTCTCCCTTTTCCAATTGAAGTATTGGTTGGAAGTCAGAACCATTATACACAGAACGCATCCTTCTCTTTATGAGCACGTACATGTACCTAAAATCAATGCAACAAAAAGATCATAACTCCTCCAAAAAGAGGATGTAAGAAATCTTGTTATACTTAACATTTTGGATAACTGATGAATGAGATACCTCGTAAGGAAAACCAGTTGTAGCTAGCTTTAAGTATATCAAGATCTTAGTCAATTATTAAAGCTCAACTAACTTCCATGTGGAAAGACTGCTTATTATTGACGAAAGACTTAGAAAAGATAAAAGACAAAGTAACAGAAGCATACCTCAAAGATCTCTTGATCATGTTAGCATAGGATCTATTGCAAAGTTTCCATATGTTTGATAAGTCGCGAACATAACAATGGAACTTCATTGCACATAACAAGAACGCTTGGTAGATATTTAATCTCACAACAGATGCTGAATTAATGTTGGAATCAAAGAATATCGGATGACATTTAGGTCTCATATAGTCACACAATTTTTCCTTCAAATGATGACTAGGTTGGCCTTGCCAGCTGACAGTAAGAGTTGAACTTAAATGGTTGCTCAAATACCTGATAAACAGATGAAACAGGTTACTCAAAAAACTTACACCAGGAATGATATTGTTTTGACACACTTGATCATAGTGTTACCATTACAAAAGGCCACAACCATTACAAACATGCAATAGATAATCGTCATCCTGGAAAAATGGGTAGTTTAAAACAGACATTGCTTTGGTAGACTGCAGACATGAGAAATTTATAACCTCTTCGGCAGTGCATGCATAAAACAATAAATATAATTGTTATTAGTCCTAATAAATTATGAAATATAAAATTAATCATATAAGGGAATTAACTTTGTGTAGTCTGCCTGAACTTCGAGAGTGCAAGAATTGATAAGCAAACCACAATATCGAAGGAATGATATGCCGTCTTCACCAAGGTATACCCTGTTTGATGGCAGCCTAGGCATCTGTCGAATATTAAAATTTACACCAAACTTTTTCTCATTCATGAAGCAGTTGTAATCCCGAAATCCTCTTTGCAACCTGGAGTAGAAGCTAGAAGCCTGCTTCTTTGAAGTTGAAATGAAAAGAAAGTCATCAATAAATCTTACTAGAAAATGACTAGAGGACGAACCAATTTTATCCTCACTACCACTCTGTGCAGCAGAAGCATCTTCAAAAGTATGTCCTCTTGATAAATCTACTCTCGTAGGTTCCCAAGTTTTTTCAAGAAATGGAAATATCACATTCCTGTCCAGATGTCCATAGTATAATGAGCAAAGCAAAGAAGACAAAACACTTCCTTGAGGAATGCCTACACCTTGCAAATAAAACTTCTTATCCAACTGCAGAACATTGCGCTTCACATGTTGATTTAGATTAAAAAATAGCTCCTGCTTCTTCACAGACCTGCTACACTCCTAAGCATTGAAAAAACAAAACTATCAGCTAAAGCTAAAAAGAACAAGAAAGGAATCAGAATCCATCAAGATGCTGAAGAAATTTTAAGCAACTACACAAATCTCCATCCCCTTCCCCATGATCAACCTAAACGAGGCCTTCATGGTAGCAGATATAAAGTCACTAAAAATCAAATCTTCCAGTAGTAAATTTAACAAACTAGTACCATCTCAATCCTATGTTCAATTATAGTGTTTTGAATACTATTTTTTCTTCAGTTACAATTACTACTTCATTGATATCAAGCAGTTTATTTTTCTGGGATGGCTTGGGGATAAGAAGTTCATGAATATACAAAGTACACAAACTACATAAACTAACAGAAAAAAACAGAATAAATAGTGACATATTCAAAAGATATAAAATTAGTTTACAAAACCATGCCAGACACTTTTTCCAGAATACCCAAAATTACCTGATTAACAAGGACACTGTGCAATGATCGGTGTATGACAGAAGATTTAAATCTCGAGCTGGTATTTTGATCCACTAATATAGGCTTCTCATGAACCCACAAAGATTTCTTTGTGCAAAGAACTTCATAAGCATGTTTGAGAAAGTATTCATCTGTTCTTAGGACATCTTTCATTACACAAAGCAGCTTATCCTGGTCAACAGAATCAAAGGCTTTTGACACATCAGAAACAACAATAAATACATCAGGCATCATTGCCGATCCATTCTTCAAACCAATTACAAAAGGGCACAACTTTCTGTAGACATCATTGTAATCAAACACTGATGAACCTAACTTCTCTGGCTCCTTGAATCGTATAGATTTTAAAACAGCATGTGTATCACGAAGAACACGATTCACTGACTTAAAATGTTCAAATCTGACCTTTCTCTGATGCATTTTTGTTCTTCCTAGTCTTCCACCGGACCGATCTCCCAAATAGAACTCTTGCCTTGGCATTCTTGATGATGCTTTTAAATTTGCTAGCAACCTCACTCCATATTCTTTTGGACAAATCCGGAGCTTTGAAAAACCAAACAATCTTTTTCTTATAATCCTTCTAGTTGTTGCAGTATCCAAGTAATGATAGTTCTGAGCTTTCATGCAAGTAACGGTCTTATTCTTCACTTTCTCCCAAACTGACTTTTGATAGTAATATAAATCTTGCTTCCCATTCTCACTTTCAGTGACATAGAAGTTGGCTTGCAACAAAGGAACAATTATAGATGAAAAGAACCAATAAATCCAGCTTTCTAAGACTTTTTGTTTTACAAGATGTGCGGCATCATTCAATTTAGTGGATCCTTTATTAATTTCTGAACTTTTTCCATCTATGCCCTTTGGTGCCTGATTATTCATGCAGCAGAAATACTGTTTATCTGATAAAAATGGGAACCTAGATGTTTTCAATTTATGCATACATTGCTTTAAAGAAAATTTTTCAAATCTTCTAAGACAAATGAACTTGGAAATATTTCTCCTCAACATTCTCCAGTTAGAAGGAGTTCCTAGCAAATCTGGTGGAATAATACTCCTACAAACAGCCCATACAAAGGACACCACCTGACTTTTCAAGCAGTAAGACTTAATTTCCTCAGAATGAGAATCAATGGCTGCTGGAGAACCATTGCAAGAATCAGTAGTACAACACTGAGATTTCTTCAGTACACTGTTACCCCGCCTTTCTCCCTGATGAGAGTCAAAATCATGTTACCTTCTTATAAGAAGGGGGAAAGTATCGCAAAACATAAATCAAGAAATATAAAATGTTGAAACTAAAAGCACTTAGTAAGCCAACTTCATGCCTCGTACACTACCATCATACATCTCACAAAATATCAAAATAGAATGCTGACCTCAAAGATGCAACCAGAATTTTTAATAGCATTCAGATTTGGAGATGTAATAAAACAATGCTTCTCCAATAATCTCAAATGATGGCAATGCCGAGCTCTGCGTATGAGAATTTTAAGCGACTTAACAAGTGAGTGATACCTGGAAAACATAAGCAGGCAATTAACGTTCATGAACAGGAAGACCACACACACACACACACACACAAGAAATTTGATAGGAAAGACATTATAAATGGCTTAAAAACAAAGATTACAAGCCTAAGATGACCATAATGATCTAAACAAGTTCTCCCACACACAGAGAAGAGAAATAAAAAAAGTCATATATACAAAACTACTTAAAAACAAAGGTTGTAGGCCTATAATCAGCAATCCAAATAGTCATTCCTCATAGTCAGCATAATATATCAGGTTTGTGTGCTCCAAGTTACAAACCTGAAACAACTGCAACCAATAATCGTCATCAACATATTTATCCAAAATCTGGTCCCATCAATTTGATAGAAGCCAATGAAGGCACATCAATTATTATTTCATTGACCGATGACTATCATTTTATTGAGGCAGCTAAACAGTAAAAACAAGAAACGGGTTTTCTCAAAAAACTCTCCTACTGAGAGGCATACCTTATCATGTTAAAATAACAAGAAAATATGAAAACTGCACCTCAGAATGAATGCACATTCCAGGGGCATGGAATGAAAGACTTCCATTCCAGTGTTTAAAAATTCTGCGAAGCAAAAACCAGGGAATACCTTTTATTCCCATTCCCATGTTTCATTTGTGCAGAAATAGGAATTAAAATTTGTTCAGATTTTCAATAATACCCTTATTAAAAAGGAAGAAATGCCAATCATTTTTAAAGCCAAAAGTTGTATTTTTAGTTTATAATGGGGGCAATTCAGTCACAAGAAAATGAAATAGATCCATTTCCAAAGCAAGGGAAAAGCAAACCCAAGGAGGTCAAAGGGTTTCACGTTCCCTGTTTCATGGGAAGTTGATAAGTTGTTAACCACGCAGCAGATATGACATTCCTATGAATATGCTTGCTAAACATGGGAAGGGAATCTCATACCCATTCCCAAGTCACTAATCTGTGAACCAAACAGGTCCTTAGCCATTAGACTCATACTGGCTAGTAACTAAAAGCTACCATTTACGCATTCCTTATAAAACAACTACAACAGATAGTCCGGTACCACTGAAATTGAAGCCAAAACCATAAGGCCTCACCAAAATTAAAAATACAAACCATTATTCCTGAACAGCATAAAATTAAAGATTATGTTGTAACTCCAAACTGTTATCAAGAATAATGAGCAGCTTACAGGCATGCAGAACCCATGAGACAAAGACCACTTCCATGAGGACATATCTTGGACAGAGCACTTTCTATGTCCGACATACCAAAAATACTCTTAACAAGAGACTCTGCACCGACAGAATTGGGCTTTACAGAATTCAGCACATCTGAAGATCATTAAGGACAATGCATTCAATATCGTTTGAAAAAGATAATAATAATACACAAAAATGGCAGCAGGAACGCATAAGTGTACAGCCAAAAAAAACCTAAGATTCTTGGGGAATATATTATAATAGGAAAAGAAAAGAACAAGATTGCACCATACATAATCATCATTTTTCAGGGAATTATGCATGAAAAGTAATTATCTCAACAATTTATTGTTGAGATAAATATATGCTGAGATGGTAAGGTATAATTAAAATGGACAACATTGCATAAATAAACAAAATAAAATGCAAAGAATATATACATATAGATTTTGATCACTTGGTCACTATCGACCTTGAAAATCCAAACCAATCATTAGGTCAAAATCCAATAGTTTCTTCAAATCCTAAAAATTTATAGAATTAATGCCAACCATTGGAATTTAATCCAACATATGGTCACCATGGATTCTTATGGTCAATGGTAGTCAAGAGACTGGAACTGTGCATCTTTCTAGTAAGTATGTATGTATGTATATGTATAGATATATACCACACACCAAAACTAGTACAAAAGGATACGTCTTTTGGGGAAAACTGATAACGAGCGTTCCAAGTTAAAGAACATGGATTTTCTGTCTATTTCAGCCCCTTTGGCAACCTTTTGTGGAACCTGGAACCCCAAACAACAGCACTGCCATATAAAAACACTTGAGTAAAGTACACAAGGACGGCAAATAAACAGAAAAGAAACTTGCTAAAGTCTGTAAGCCTCCAACATTTCAGACCTTTTTTTTCCAATCAAACAGTATTGAGGAGCCCCTCCAGAGAGGCAGGAATCAGACATTTTACACAAATTTTGAGTAAGAAAATTGGAGGATTTGTCAAAGCACCTTTGTATCATGATGACCTGAGCTCGGTTTCAAGCAACAAGAAAGCCTGCCAGGTAAGCTTTCTTTGTCAGCGAGAACTGTTGTGAAAGGACCCTTAACGCTGGTTTCTTGAGAAGTTAATTGTCTGCGCTTCCTGCAGCGCTGCCATCTAAATGGTCTATTACGCTTTTTAAGCCTTTCTGAACTCTGTTGAAGTTCATGATTTAAATTACCCTCATTGCCATCGCTAACAGTGCTGGTTGTTTCCATAGCTGCTTCAGTATGGCCATGCTTATTCCTATCAAATCCACTATCACTGCAGCAGCCATTGCAGGTAACAGAACTGAATGTTTCATCAGTGCTGAAAGAACTACCGAGCTGCTGTCTCTTCAACATTGACTGTATGTTATCATCTCTTTCCCTCTTTTTCCAGGGTCCTGAGATAAAGTTGCAGTTCGATCATCCTTTAACGGCTAATTCTAGATATGAGCAAGTAGAACAACATAAGAAGAACAAAAAGCTTAAAAATCATAAATCAGAGACCTGGAGAGATCATAAGAAAAGAAGTGGCTCCATGAAAACACATTATAAATCAACATGGACGTAGAAACACACTGAGTAAGAGCAGACCAAGAAAGATCAGGCATTGTAAATTCCCTAAATCCTGCAATTATGCTGAGGGCATAACTAAGAACCATGATCAATTAGTAACATGTTAAAGGATTAGCATGTTATTTACTATTCTAGCCATATTTCGCATCACTGAAGAACAGATATTTATCTTATATTCTCTATTCCTTGTGTGTCTAGAATTGTATAATCTATTGACTTCCTGCGCTAACCGTTTAATATGTCTAATACCCAATATATCACTTGAAAAATGGAACAATCCAATCCCCTGCATTGATCAAGAGAGAAAGGGAATTGCCACATATACATGCTCAAAACACAATGAAATGCTAAAAAAATTGATCTTTTTATCTCCTAAACACAAAGCATGACTGCATATATATGAATCATGATTTTCTCAAGATAATTGAAGATATTTATACATCTTCTGAGTACTTCAAAACACAGTACATTACATTATAAACTCACGATTACCACATGGATTTTGCAATGACTGTTGATGTAGTGCCTGCGGTGCAGGCTTCAACTTCTTTGGACATAAGTTACTAATAGGAAGACCTGTGACCTGCTCATGTTTCTTACGCTGAATTGGCAAAAATATAGACGCATTCCTTAGTAAATAAACCATAATACCATCCCCAACCTGCCATACAAAATTTCCACCATAATTGAATTTCAAAATCCGAACATAAAACTAAATTGCATCATTAAACACAAGTAATCAATGTGTAACACTAACATACCCTTTCTAATAGAAGACACCAAGCCGAAGAATTAAGAAGCTCCACAATGGGGCTTGACTGATTACACTGCCAAATACAAACAATAAAAAAAACAAACATTATATTTTGTACGTCTATAATGAAATTCCATAAATTCAAAATATACATAATGAAAAAAGAAAAAGAAAAAGTATTTACCTTATCATAACCAGTACATATCACATTGGAAGACAGAGGTTGCTCAAGCATCATCACTTCAATCACCGCCCTCACAATCTGAACACAGTAAAACGCAATTTTTACACAAATACACAAACAAAAACAACACAAGGAACCAAATATATATTCACGTGTATGACTACGAGTACCTCAATTTGGGACCAATGAGAGTCGGGGGAAAAGTGAGCAAGCGTAGGGGCGCGTTCCCAGACGACGTAGCAGTGGTTGAGGAGGTTGCGGTAATCGGAGGGGTCGTTGGGTCGGAGAATGAACGACATGCCGTTGGGCCCGCTGCAGCTGAGGCAACGGCGGCCCTTGCAAAAACGACAGTGGTCAGGGACTGACGACGAGGAATGAGGAGGGAGTAAGGAGTTGATGGCGTCGGCCAATGTGTGCGGCCGGTTATGGAATAGCCGGCGGAGGACCTCCGGAACGCGGCGTTTCTTCCGCATTTCTCGGAAAGTGGGCAGAAAAATTGGAGGTCTGAAAAGTGAACTTTTTTCTTGGTTGGCACAATGGACAGTGGACTGGACTCTGAAGAGACGAGAAAATCTTACGAATTTTAGAGGGGCAATAAAAGTGCGCCATTTCAGTTCAATTGTTTTTTTTGTTGGGCAGTTCCATTAAAAAAGCGCGGGTTAGGTTTGGTCAAACCACTAAATTTTTGTTGAGCAACAATTTATTTCGTTTGTATTACAAACGTAGTTCCTTCTTTTCTTGGCTTTTTATCACAAATAGTTGCCGACAAATTATCATCTTTTTAATGATTTTTTGTGACACTAATGATAAGGTTACTTTCCGCACATCAAAATGGTCCCTGTCATTAGCTTTCGTTAAATATTCTGTTAAATTACTGACGTTATGTTCTCCAAAGCCATCATTTTTACCTAAAGCTCAATTAACTGAAAGATAAACACAAAAAGGATTAAAAGCACAAGTTTAACTCAAAAACATAACCAAATCATAAGCTAGAAGGGTAAGAAATAATATACAATTATGAACCGATCAGGCATCGTAGTAATTACTTACATCCCCAGCCTCTCCGCCCTCCTTCCTCCCCCAGCCTCTCCCCAGCCTTTCTCCGCCCTCCTTTCTTGATTCCTTTTTTATGGGTACCGATGTTACTACATCAGGGTGTTTGTATCCTCCTGATCAGAAATAGTATACTTCACCGTATAACTATAAGGCTAACAAGGTATCCTTGTTCTTTCCAAACTCCAGTTCATCCCTTCCAAATTACAGACTCTTCTATTTGCCCTTTGTTTTCTCTAACTTTTTCTTTACCTTTGGCCCAGTTTTCAGAGAGCAGCTCTTATGCATAAGCTTTCAAATTTCCTTTTCTTCTATAACACTTGTTTCTAGATTTTTCTTCTTTTCTTAAGTTTGGCTGGAATGGTCCTATTGTAAGTGCAGAATAGATTTTGTCTCTGGTGAAATCTCCCAAGAGATTTTCTTGTGTTGGATCTTGATCCATCCTAGTTCTGGTTCTCATCATGGAGGTCCAAGATAGTGAGTGGGATGATTTACTCATAGATGAGCCAAATTATCACTTTGATGGTAGCTATGAGGTGCAAGAGCGTATAAATAATCAGATCACACTGGTGGGTCTACTAATCGCAGATCATGAATTACCACAATCTCTGGTCAAGAATGTGTTGTGTGCAATATGGAGTAATATGGGGACGATCAAAGTTATGTGGTCCAAGGAGAATGTTTATTCCATTTGTGTAGGAGACGAGGCAGTGGCTAGGAGATTGTTGGATGGTAATCCATTGATCATCAAAGGTAATATTTTTACAGTTAAAAGTTGGCCAATTTATCATTCACTTGATGACATTGTTCCAAATCGTGCTATCTTCTGGGTTCAAGCCCATGGCCTCCCAAGAAGTTTGTGTTCGTCCGGAACTGCAAGGAAACTGGGTGCTCAAATTGGCTCTGTTATGGAAATCGAAGATGTCGAGGAAGTGGGTTTTCGTGGCTTTCTCAGAATGCGCATTGACATTGATGCATCAAAACCTCTTCCTCCAGGTTTTTCGATGCCATGCCAAGTTCAGGGCCGTAGAAAAATTCGATTGAGATATGAAGGCTTAAAAGACTTCTGCATGAGATGTGGCAGATTGGGACACTTTAGGGGTTGCCTCTTGAAACCAAATGCAAGGCTGGAAAAGGAGGGCTGGAAGTATGATGAAGAATTGCGGGCTCCGTCAATCTCTAGAAGGTCTACTTCAAATTATCACTTTGATGGTAGCTATGAGGTGCAAGAGCGTATAAATAATCAGATCACACTGGTGGGTCTACTAATCGCAGATCATGAATTACCACAATCTCTGGTCAAGAATGTGTTGTGTGCAATATGGAGTAATATGGGGACGATCAAAGTTATGTGGTCCAAGGAGAATGTTTATTCCATTTGTGTAGGAGACGAGGCAGTGGCTAGGAGATTGTTGGATGGTAATCCATTGATCATCAAAGGTAATATTTTTACAGTTAAAAGTTGGCCAATTTATCATTCACTTGATGACATTGTTCCAAATCGTGCTATCTTCTGGGTTCAAGCCCATGGCCTCCCAAGAAGTTTGTGTTCGTCCGGAACTGCAAGGAAACTGGGTGCTCAAATTGGCTCTGTTATGGAAATCGAAGATGTCGAGGAAGTGGGTTTTCGTGGCTTTCTCAGAATGCGCATTGACATTGATGCATCAAAACCTCTTCCTCCAGGTTTTTCGATGCCATGCCAAGTTCAGGGCCGTAGAAAAATTCGATTGAGATATGAAGGCTTAAAAGACTTCTGCATGAGATGTGGCAGATTGGGACACTTTAGGGGTTGCCTCTTGAAACCAAATGCAAGGCTGGAAAAGGAGGGCTGGAAGTATGATGAAGAATTGCGGGCTCCGTCAATCTCTAGAAGGTCTACTTTCCTTTTCAAACCAAAAATAAACGGTGGAGATACCGGAATCTTTGATAAAAACCATTGGAGACATATGCTGGAGCAAGAGGACGGTGGCCTATACGGTTTCTCCGACGATGAGCGCAACAGACAAATCTCTGTTCCAGTCACAGTGAATGAGCCAGCTAAGGAGACAACTGTCCCTTCTGACCTTTCTCAGGCTTCAGGCTCCATGCTTCCTGTGTCTGACCCCCCACTGGCTTCTGAGTTCTAACTCCATGCTTCCTGCGCCTAACCCCTCACAGGTTTCAGACTCCATGCTTCCTGTGCCACCTGCTATGTCTCAGGCCTATGCTTCGTCTCAATCAACAGATGTGCTTCCTGGGACTGACAATGCTGCTAATCCTATGAATGGAGTGATAAAATCAAGAGTTATAAGAATGTGGGACCCGGAAAGCGTTGGTACCCACTACAGAAACGGATCTCTTAGACTTGCCATATGGGGGCTCTCTCTTAATCAAAATTGGTGTGACCCAGACACTATTCCTCCATGGGCTTTGAATAGGGGCGCACGTGTAGCACTTTTGGATACTCAGGGGGAGCCCAACTTCCGAGCCCATATTGACCCCTCTCCCCTAGTCAATAAGCCTTGTATTGAGGTGGTGGGTGACTTGAGGAAACTGGCCCACTTGAAGATGACCAAGTTTATCAGGAAATTGTGAGAAAAGGAAAAAAGAAACTCATGGGTGAAGGAAGACCCATCTCATCAGTTAAAAAGGCCAAGTTAAATTTGAGCCCTAATCCTGGTGTTTCTCTACGGTTCTCAAATAGAGGAGGGTACATTACTCATCAGAAAAATAGAGGAGGAAAAGTCAAAGCTCGAGGAGGAAATGTCGACCAACGCCAAATATGTATCACAAGGGAAACAAATCTGCGAGAAGTGGTTGTTAGCCCCTCCAAAGAAATGGAAGAAGCTGAAAGATGATTAAGCAAGCTGAATCCGGAGGAGCGAAATAGGCTCCAAGGTCGTGGTGGCTGGCCTTCAACAGCCACACGGAATCAATGATACAGATAGTCTGGAACTGTCAAGGTTTGGGGAACCCCAGGACAGTTCTGTATTTGAAGGAGTTGATTCACTCCAAAAACCCTTCTGTTCTATTTCTCATGGAAACAAAGATGAATAGGTACAGAATGAATCAAATTAGGAGGCAATGTGGTTTTTGTAAAAGTTTTGTTGTTGACCCGGTAGGGACTGCTGGAGGGCTTTGTTTGTGGTGGAAACCTTGGGTGGAAGTGGAAATATTAGACTGGAGCAAAAATTGGATTGATACTTGTGTAAAATCTGACACAGATCATATCTTTGGAAGATTCACTTAGTTGTATGGCACTCCATATAATATGGAGAAGACCGCTTTTTAGGAAAGTATTCTTGAGTGGGATAAGGGGGAACAAATGTCATGGTTTGTTAGCGGTGATATGAATGAAGTGTTATGGAATTTTGAAAAAGAGGGTGGTGCCCCTTGGAATCCTAGAAGACGTCGATATCTTCTAGAGTTTATGGAATCTAACTCGTTGATTGACTTGGGCTTCAGCGGGCAATGCTTTACTTGGGAGAAGAAGTGTACTGATAATGTTGTTGTTAGAGAAAGATTGGATCGTTCCTTGGGTAATGCTGATTGGGTGCTCCGTTGGCCTAATACTTAAATTTTGCATGGCTTAAGAGTGGGATCGGATCATGTCCCCCTGATTATTGACAACTCCTCGTCCCCTGGTAAAAAGAATAAATTATTTCGGTTTGAGGCTAGTTGGGCGGAAGATCCAGTTTGTAAGGAGCTTATCGGAGGGTGCTGGAGTGAAAATAGTGAAGAATCTGGCATTTCAGGGTGGCAACACAAACTATCGACTTGTAAAATGAAGTTGATCCAGTGGCGTCGCGACATGGGAGCTAATAATAAACAAAAAATCCAAGTCAAGCTTAGGGAGCTAGAGAGTCTTCATATGGCTGTGGCTTCCGATAGCACTCTGCAACAACAAGAGTTAATCAAAGCTGATCTCGAAAAGTTATGGAAGGCTGAGGAACTTTATTGGTGCCAGCGAGCTCGTGTCAATTGGCTCAGTGCTGGGGACAAGAACACTCGTTTCTTCCACCTTTCAACTATTCAACGTAGGCAAAGGAACAAAGTTTCACGTCTGAAAAATGGGAGAGGTAGTTGGCTTTCGGGTGATAAAGCTATTGGTGCTGAATTTAAACTCTACTTTTCTCGGGTGTTCACGTCGGTTGGTAATCGGAATTGGGGTACTTTTTTGGATTGTATCCCTGAGACTATCAGTGCTGAAATGAATGCTCTTTTGGTGGCTCCTTTTTCTGAGGAGGAGATTTCTATAGCTGCACATCAATTAGGCTCCCTCCGGTCTCCTGGTCCAGATGGATTCCCGAGTCTTTTTTACCATAAATATTGGCATGAAGTGAAGGATACTGTGAATTCAGCTGCTGCAGATTGGTTTAGCGGTCGGTCTCATCTCAAAGAACTAAACAAAATGTATATTGCCCTTATTCCTAAAGTGGCTGCTCCTGAGTTTCCCAACCAATTCAGACCAATTAGCCTCTTCAATAGTTCTTACAAGATTCTCTCTAAGATGCTGGCCAACCATCTAAAAATGGTCATTCCTTCAATTATCTCGGATACCCAGAATGCCTTTGTTCAAGGAAGACAAATTCAGGATAATATTGTGGT